GTGCAGTGTGAGGTGTGGAGTGTCGAGGGAAGGACACGGTCGGGACAGGGTGTCTTTGAACTATAGGTCATTTATGTTTGGGAAACTTCCGCCGCCGGCTTGCCCGGGTCTATGTTATTGATAAATTCCCATTGAATATTTCCATATATTTACCATTGATTTCCCATATTTGCCATTGACTTCCCATGTTTTTCCCAGTTCCAGGTGGAATCTCCAGCTGTTTCTCTCCATCGAGGTCCCATTTCTCCGCCATGGCCGCCGCCTCTGCCGCCATCGCCGCAGCCGCTGGGGCCGGCTTCACGGCGCCGGAGGGTGACCTGGGCGTGGCGGGTGTGGCGGGTGTGGCGCCGATGGAGGCTGCTTGGAGGGGGATGGAGTCGAGGGAAAATGCTGGATGTATGGTGGGTGAAACACCAGTTTCACCATGTTTCACCATCAATTGAAGTGGAGTTAACAGAATTAACATATGATTTTTCACGGGATACTATATTTGTATGATGTAATAAGCAACTTGAACTCGGCCAAACTACGGGTTTGTCTTTTCTGGGGTATCCCGGAAATTCAGATGACGAGATCCATTGGAATTGGGCTATCCTATTTTCAGATAAACTAAACAAACAAAACTGGTTGGTGGTTTCAAACATGGCTTTTATTTCCATAATACATGGGATAATCCTTCCCATTGACGAACTCATATTTTTCAGAGGGGTAGGTCAACCACCAACCAGAAAAGCAAAACACATTATTATTCTACTTCGCATGATCCCCACCACTAAAAAAACATGTGACAGAATTCTGACATTTTCATATCTAATCATGGCGAAATTTCGACATATGCTGGCATGCTGATTTTGGGTATGATCAGCCATGGTCAACTCTTCCATTAGAAGGCGCCCATTGGTTGTAAGGCAGCCCAGACACATATTGACATGCCCTCTATTAAACTAACATAACTATGGAAAAAACACCTTCTTTAATGGGTAAATCAACTCTAAATGGCCATTTCCAATAGCTATGTTTGTTTACCAGAGGGTATAGACAATAATAATGAAAGTGAATATCCGCTCAACGACGGATCAATTGAAACAACAAAAACCAATCCAAAGACGAAAACACCTACACAAGAAATCAAAAGAAGTGTATACAGATTATAGTTGAACGCACATATATATATAACATAACATAACATAATATAATATAATATAACATATCATAATATAATATAATATAGTATAATATAGTATAGTATAGTATAATATAGTATAATAGAATATGATATGATATGATATAATATAACATTATGGTGTATCTTATTATAATATATATATATACACATTATCTTATCTTATCATATTATATTATATTATACTATACTATACTATACATATATATATATTATTATTTTTGTTGTTATTATTATTATATATATATATTATTTTTCATATACATATAATTTGATCATATTGTATTATATTATATAATATTATATTATATATTATTTTTTATATACATATAAGCATATAATATAATATAACATAACATAATAATAATATAATATAATATAATATAATAAAATATAATATAATATATATTTAACATAAAGAATATGATATAATTTAAATAAAAACAATATATATATAATATTATATATATGTCATATTTATCACATAGATTCTATTCTGTCGTATCATGTAAACATAACATTATTATAAAACAAACGCTTGTATCATGACGAGGCGTCACAGCCGGGTGAAGCCTTGCGTCCAGAGCTGCTGGCAGCGCTGCGGGCGCATTTGCTGCGGCAGAACGGGAGCCCTGGAGCGATTCGGATGGGATATGACATGAGGATACCAATGGGACATGGGGATTTCCCCATAAGATGTGGAAAATCCATCAAAATCCATGAAAATCCATGAAAATCCACTACTTGACATGGGGATTTACTCTCCAAGTAAACCAACATAGATATGGTAAATCCATGAAAAACCTGGGGTATCAAGCCAGGCAGCCAATCAAAACGGGGTCATCGATGGTGAAGCCCGTTTCGCTAGCGCTGAGGCGTGAACGTCACTCCGTGCTGCGGGCAAAGTTCGGGGTGAAGCAAGCGCAGCTGCGGCCATACTTCCAGGCCACGTTGGTGGTAATGATACTTAGGGATTTTTGTTTGATGTTTTATCTGCTTAATGATGGTGGTTCATATACTGTTTTCATAATTGTTTTCCTGATGGTTAATATTAATGGTGAATGATGTTTGATCTCTTTTAATGTTTCTCCATATTTATCTGTCAAATGATGGTCCGGATCCTCCATGTTTGTGATGAACATATAGAGATTAAACATGGAAGTTCGGTCCAATGGGGTTCTATGGCACGGCAGGGACCTTTGAGAGATGCTGTTCCTGCCGCCATAGTTGCAGTCTTCCTTCAAGACAATACAAGCACTGCAGCGTTTCTTTTGAGAAGCGGCACCCTTGTAAAATAAGGGTGCATCCTTCTAAAAGAAGACCAATTGTGTTTGAATATAGAATCCCGTAGGATCCATGTATGCCATATATGGTAACATTTACCATCAATATACCCCTAAATGTTAGCATATATACCATACATGGATCCTATGGGAATGCTACCTTCTTTCCAGTTTCAGATTTCCTTAAGTGGTGCAGCATTCCTTTTGCCAATAATTATGCTGCACAATTCCATCCGATCAAAATTGAGCCAGACCATATCCATTTGTTGCTGACTGTACCCTCAGCTTCATCGTTGAGAATACCTTAAAAGAAGACTTTGGATTAGCGCTTGCAACTTGCTGGTTAAATTCTGAGATATTCCTTCCTCAAGGGTTTTGTGTTGTTTATTGCATGTTTCATGCATTTCTTGATTGGTGTTCTGCAGGACAATGCGAGCATCTCTGATTCAGTTGCTGCTGAAATAGGACAAACTACTCAGGTGTGTTGTTAAGGTCTATCATGTCGTGTGGAAATAACATTGAAATTTCAGAGACTAATTGTTCGCGAAGCATCATTTTAGCACCAAACTAATAAAGCAAACATATCAATGACACTGAATATGTAAGAACCTTCACCTTTTGTTAGTTGCGATTCTAACGAATTTCCAAGACAGTACTAATTAGCACATGAGAACTAACAATGAACCTGCAACCGTAACTATGAACCACCATTTAACATTTACTAAACCACAGTTGTTGATGGCTTTTGAAAGTCACGAAACCATCCGCCGGCCAGGTGCTTCCCGCCGGTCAGGACGCAGTGGTTGCCCTGGATGAAAAGTCCACGGCGCTGCCGTTGCCCAAGGAGCGGAGCTGCGGAGCTTGGGAGATACCCGAGGATTTCACCATGGTGATATGTTTTTTGAATGAGATATTCATTTGGATGTATTATATTTATATATAGATATAGATATAGATGTATGTATGTATATATATATATATATATATATATATATCGTGTATATATATATATATGTATGTAGATATATAATGGGATTGATTATTTTAGGATATATATATATATATATGTATTTTTTGTTTCTCATATCTTCCCATTGCTCCTCCACCTTGTCTTTGTGCCAGGTGCCTGGGCCCATCAACAGCAGCGTCAACGAAGCCATGCAGGGCCTGGCGGCGTTGATGGGCGAGCTGAACTGCAGCAGGGTCTCCATAGGCGCGGCGATGACAGGAGGAGGTTCACTACTGAGCAACGTTGGAATGTGAAGGAACACAAAACACGGGGTAGCGATATGTCTTATGATGTCTTATGTGTTTTCACATGGATACTTATGTGATATAGTGTATGTGTATATATATATATATATATAAATGTATGTGTGTATATATATATATACAACATGTTTTGGGAAAGTATTTTTTGTGGTTTTGTATATTTTCTTCATATCTTCTCTTTTTTTGGTTCACCGGTGGTCAGGCCGCGCCATGGTCTTTTGTATGGACCGTGCAGAGCACCATGCAGCACTGCTCTCAAGGTTCGCAACAACCATCAGAGTGCCTACTGACGGAGAATGCGGGCCGTGGAAAATCAACTGATCCATTAATGGAACATATCAAACATGAACAGAATATTTTAGTGGGACCAATCATTTATTTTAATCATGTTTAATCCACTTATAATCATCAATGGACTACAATCATATGAGAGCGTCTACCGATCCATTAATGGAATCAAATGTCACTTGAATAACTTTCTTAGGGGATTTGGGGTTTTGATGTCATGTTTCCCATTTACCAACAATGCAGATTTATGCATCCAGATTTGACTACCAGAGATGATTCGGTGATTTCAGATATTTGATGTTTAATTCTTACCCGTGTTTTGGATGAAGATACTCAACGCCACATCTTTTTTTGGATGGGTTAAAACAAACAATCAGAAATGGGTTCGTGTTTGGAGAAAAGGATGGGACTGAGTCAACATGAACCAACAACCGAGAATATGGGAGAGTTTACATGCAACAATAGAGACTCGACCTACTGAAAACGGGATTGAACCTTCCAGAAAACAATAGACACATGATGTGGTGAGGTCGAATACCAACGTGTTGCTTGTCTGAGAAACACGACGTGTTACCGAAGGGGATGATCCTTGGATCCTTGGACGTAGCGTTTAACGGATGTTTGTAAACCAGAGCTGGGATGTTTGTGGCCAGAATCCAACTAACATAACTATGGAAAGATCCACCATTTTCAATGGGAAAACTCACTATTTCTATGGCCATTTTCTATGTCGCAAACTGTAAGTTAGTTTACCAGGCCGGGTACTTCCCAATATGGTGACGTGATCCCGAAGTTGCCAATGGACAGTGGCCTTTTTGTTGGATGCCCAACTAGCATCGACTGATATACCACGGTGACCCATGCTGATTTCACCGAAATTCACCAACATGTGGGATCTAAGCGACAAAAGTATGGGCTTTGACTGCAGAACATGTTAAAGTAGCACAAGAAACGGGTATTTAGGGATAAAGGACCACCGCAAGAAAGAATTAGCTCACAGAAAATGAGGATTAAAAGCCATCTGGTTGGTGGTTTCAAACATTTTTTATTTTCCATAATAGAATGGGCTAGCGCCCGGGTGCCGCCTACCCCCCTCCCGGGGGGTTTGATAGTAGGGGATAATAACCAACAGTTATAGGGGACAGATAGGTAGATAAAAAGGTAAATAAACGTAGCTTATACACAGAGGATAGAGATGGACATTACAGATGAATTGAAAAAATCGCCTTAAATCAGTTGAAATGAGATGAGATGAGTGTAGAGTAGATTAGATCAGAGGGCTCAGGTTCGATCGGTAATGGGGCTGCGCCGGACACCGGATCAAGTGAAGGAGACAGACCGGATTGTCCGCCGGAAGCTGCCAAAGGGCAAACATACCAAGGACACGCTTGCGAAGATCAACGCGGCGCTGGCGAAGAGAAAACTGCCAATCCTGAAGTCTCAGGAGGCTTTGGTCAACTTGCGCAAGGGGCTTCTGCGCAGGGTTGAGGCGGCGAGCCCTGCGTTTCCGCTACGGGCCTTGTTGCGACGGTTTGGCGCTGATTCTCGGGCGATCGAATCCTACTATCGCATCCTAATAAACCATCGAACGGTCTGTGGGAACCAGTTTTCTGTGAAGGCGGGCATTGTGACGGAAAAAGCGTATGTTTACATTTGCCCCGCTTACAAAGGGAATGTGGCCAGTGACGTGAAGACAGGGCGAATAGACCATCGAAGGGTCTGTCGAACCAGTTTTCTGTGAAGGACGGCGTTGTGAAGGAGAAAGCGTATGTTTACATTTGCCCCGCTTGCAAAGGGAATGTGGCCAGTGACGTGAAGACAGGGCAAATAGACCATCGAAGGGTCTGTGGGAAGCAGTTTTCTGTCAAGGACGGCGTTGTGAAAGAGAAAGGTGGTAAACGGCAAGCTTGAACGCCGACAAGAAGCTTTTGATCTGGCTTTGGGGTACCTTTTGAATTGTGTAAAGGCTGGCAAACGGCAACCTGGGACGCCTAAGAGAATTGATCTGGCCTTTGGGGTGCCTGTTGGCTGCGGGATGAAGCATGCCAAGAGAATGTTTAAGCGTTTGAGGGGGCGAAAACCAGGCTGGGCCGCCCAGACGAAGCGATGGATGTGGCCTTGGGGCAGCTGTTGCCTGCGCGGTTCGACGTTCCGAGAAGCTTAATTTTGCACAGTTTGCAATGTTTTAAGGGTTTTAAGGGTAAGCGTTTAAGGGCTGGCAAACGGCAGGCTTGGACGCCCATTAAGGGTTTTAAGGGTTTTGAGGGTTTTTAAGCGTTTTAAGTGTTTTAAGGGTTTAAGGGCTGGCAAACGGCAGGCTTGGACGCCCATAAGAAGCCATTGATGTGTGGCCTTGGGGTGCCTGTTGGCTGCAGGATGAAGCATGCCAAGGGAATGTTTAAGCGATGTGGCCTTGGGGCAGCGCTATTGCCTGCGCGGTTCGGCGTTCCGAGAAGCTTTTGCACAGTTTGCAGGGTTTTAAGGGTTTTAAGGGTAAGCGTTTAAGGGCTGGCAAACGGCAGGCTTGGACGCCAATAAGAAGCCATTGATGTGTGGCCTTGGGGTGCCTGTTGGCTGCAGGATGAAGCATGCCAAGGGAATGTTTAAGCGATGTGGCCTTGGGGCAGCGCTATTGCCTGCGCAACAAGTGCAACACCACACGCAGGTAGACCACCCCCGACAAGCTCCGCAACCATTGCCCAAATATGGGCGCCCATATGGGTACAGGACATGCCTGCTAAGTGCTGTCCAGCACCTTGCACATTTAAAGCCCATGCAGAAGGCCTTGCACAGTTAAAGCCGGCGCAGGCGGCCTCGTGCATTTGGTGCCCGCACGGAAGGCAAAGGATGGACCCCGCCGTCTTCATCGCTGTCGATGACTGGAACCTTTACTACGGGAATGCGGGAACGGCTGCTTTGGCCTTGAAATACAAAACCTTCCGCAGGAAAACTTACTTGCCCAAAGCATGTAATTTTAATGTCCAAATGCCTGGAAGTCTTAACTGCAGGATGAAGCATGCCAGGAGAATGTTTATGCGATGTGGCCTTGGGGCAGCGCTGTTGGCTGCGAGATGGGTTTGACCTTGGGAAGCTAAGATAAGAAGGAGAAGTTCCACACCTGCGGTGGTCCCAGGCGCCGCCCCTGCCTTGGCCAAGGCCGGGGTCGGCGGATATATGGGATAATCCCTCCCATTGACTAATATTTTTCAAGATGGTAAAAACCAGCCATTAAACAAATCTAAACATGGTGATTCTGGGTCCACCAGAAAGGTCAAAGAATAGGGAGATGACCATGGTGACCTCGCTTGGAGGCGTCTCAGCACGGCTCTTGCGGAACCCAGTTTGACGGTGACGCCCTTGGCCAGGCGGGGAGTTGCGCATTGCTGGACCTATCTGGTGGATTTAATGGGTTCTAAAATGTTCTAAATGTTCTAAGAATTGGATTTTATTTGGCAATAAAACGTGGCAATTGACAATCCTGTCTATATAAAATCTAATTCTAAATGGTGCTTTAATGGAAAAACACATGGAGCTAAGTTAGTGATGTGCCATTGCTGTCTGTGATTTCCAGAGGGTCAGAGGGTAGTTGATTTTATTGCATTGAATGATAGATTGATGGAAATGACCATTGAAACATGACTGCGACTTCAATGGGACACTCATGATTATGTGGATATTTATCGGTTTGAAACCACTGGTTTTATTTCTTATGCTCCATCCAATATCAATGACTGCTTGGCGGACACGGAAGACAGGCTGTACAAAGACGGTGGCACGGCAAGTTGTCTTTAAGGATATCTTTTGGATGCTCCATTGCCAGGAGTTGGCAGTTGTGCCACAGTCAAAAGTTCTATTATATTGTAATTATATATATTATATAATTATATAATATATGTATACCCATATTGGGGGGATGGTTATAATCCTTCTGAATCAGGGATTCCCAGTATGGGATGATTGTTGTGTAGCCTCAGCCTGGTTATGCCTGGTTTTGTGTGAAAAACCCATAAATAACCATAAAAGAAATCACCATAAAATACCATAGTTGATTAATGCCATAGCTAGACCTTTATTGTTGGTTAAACACTAAACCTTTATTAATACCCCATAAATATCCATTTATTGATTTTGGCAACAGCCAGCGCTGGCCAGTTTTCTCGTGACTCTTGGAGGTTCTACCTGATCAGTGATGTTCTCCACAACGCTGGCTGTGACAAACCAGGCGTGACCCAAACGACGACCGATGGGACTCATGGGATAATAGAGTACAATATATATATATATATATATCACCAACACTATGATAATCTCACCCATATCTCACCCAATGTATTGGTGTGTATATATATATATATACGTATATTACATTATTGTATGTATATATATATACACTACATTTTATATATATATATATATATATATAAATATATACAATATGTATATACATTATAGTGTATATATATTATATATATATGTTACATTTAGATGTTTATGATTTCAAGACTGAACCACCAATTTTGGGGGGCTAGAGATTCTTGAGCCATACCCATTGCAGTTGGGGGGTTAAACCATCCAATGAACGGGTACATTTTGACCCACACTGGACCTGTGGCATAACATTTCACATGCAGGTACCCACCATGATTTCCCAGGGGCCTACAATTCATGGTCATATTTTGCAAGTGTCAAAAAATGGGGTACCTATGATTGATCAAGATGTCAAGATGTTGTTCCTCCTAAATTCCGAGAAGGACCAATCAAGTGCTTGGGCCATGCGGCCCCTTCCGCATTTTCTGGGCACATCTTCAGATAGTGGGCCTTCCTGTCGCACTGGATGACTGGTTCCACTAGAATCCCCCAGTTCTGTGCCATTCTTCATACATTGGTTGAATCACCACCATGGGAAAGCATATGTTTGCTAGAACCCCTATTCGAAATCCATGTATTCCACTACTTCAAGTCACTGCGAGGTCAAAAATGGTTGGATCAATCTCATCATTGACGGTGCTAGCGTTTGCTTGTAAGAATTGACATACTTTCATTGATTTCTGCTAAATCCCCAGTGGTTCATGGTTCGGGATAACTTGTAACGACCTCCCTGCGACCTAAAACTGTGAGTCATCCCAAAAATGATGATCATTCCAGCAGATGGATTCGATTCTCTACACCAGCAGAAGGGTTTCCATAAATTGGGGTACCCCCATAGCTGGATGGTTTCTTTCATGGAAAATCCCAATCTAAAATGGACGATGACTGGGGGGTACCTTCATTTTAGGAAACCTCCAATTGACAATTTTTGGAGACAGTGGATGGTGCCAGGAGCCAGGCACTTCCGCGACTGCTTGCAGGACGGCATGGCTGACGTAGGCAGTTTTCCCCAACAGATAGCAAAAAATTTGGATTGAAGTAACCGGGTTAACTAGAATGTATTTATTATCCCATAGGATCCATGTATGGTATATATATATATATATATGCTAACATTTGGGGTATACTGATGGTAAATGTTACCATATATGGCATACATGGATCCTATGGGTATATACATATTATTATGACCATCTGTCAACCCAGCCCTTTGAGTAGGAGTAGGGAATCACTGATCTGATTAGGATTTATGCTGGATATATCCCTCCAATTGGATAGGTTTTCTTGTAAAACCAAAGAAATACCAGAAGGGCCGATATGAAAACACAATGATTTGCAAATCCTGACGGCCATGGAATGGAGTTTGCTGCTGAAATCTTGACTTTTACGGATGAAGTTTAATTTGTGTCGCTTGCCTGCCCATTTCTGGTGATCAAGGTCACCTTCCTGGTCATTTCCTTGTTTAATGGCATGGGTGGAGCCTGAAGAGCATATGACCTCGCCAGACTGTCATGGAGTGGCTGCTGAAGTTCCCGCACATCAAAGAGATTCACGTGGCTGGGTTCCCCTGTGTTGATCTGAGCTCCGCCAAAGCCAACAGATTGAACCTTGCAGGCCGAGAGTCGGGACTTTTTACGGAGGTCCTCCGCATCTTGGAGCTGCTGCGCAGCGTGTTTTTGGACAGCGGTTTTGTATCCGCTTCTTCGTTGAGACTGTTCGTTGCTTAGATCCTCATTTCCGATGGCTTATATCGCAGTTTTAGAGCTTCAACCCCTTCGGTTTTTCTCAATCAATAGGCTTCATGTGGCTTCATCTCCCATTTCTTCCGCCTTCCAATCAATTGATCACTTCAATCAGTGAATTCAATTCCATCACTTTCCCCAGGAAAATCCACCGAAATCCCCACCTTTTCCGTGGCGAAATCGGCTTTCGCCAGCCGTAGGACCTGCTGCCAGAGGCCCTGGAGGCGCTGGGCCGCTGCTACCTGCGGCGCCTGGAGCTGCCGCAGCGGAAGAATGCCGAAGCGCGGCTGCTGGAGGCGGGAGATATTGAGAATCTGTGGATATGATATGGGATTATTGGGGGATCTACCCTCTGGTAAATTAACATAACTATGGAAAATCACCATTTTTAATGGGTAAATCCACTATAAATGGCCATTTTCAATAGCTATGTTAAATTACCAGAGGGTATTATGATTATTGAGAATCTATAGTGTCTGAATTATTATCTGAATCTATTTTGATTATTACTAAGCTGGTTGGTGGTTTGGAACATGGCTTTTATGACTTTCCATATATTGGGAACAATAATTCCATTTGAATTTCATATTTTTTCAGAGGGGTAGGTATACCACCAACCAGTATAAACACGATATATATATATATAAATAGATATATACACATATTTTTGAATTATCCATATATATATATATATAATTACAATCCAATATATATATATATATTTGCTACAACTAATAATTGATATACCCTATAGTATATAACTATATTAATTAATGGATATTACTGGAAAATGAATAAGTGGATATTAGTAATACTGGCTGTTATTGTGGATATGTGTTATAGTTGTTATATTAATGGATATATTAGTGGATATAATATAGCTCATGATTAGTATTATTAGAATGTAGGATGAATTAGTGGATAATTAGTAATAATGACTGTTATTAGTTCATTATAGTATTATCAATGATGCTTGGTATTGTAGTTGACAAATAACAATGTGTAACAATATAACAAATACATGATTAGTTGACACTTATACAATATATTAATAATATTGATACTTAGTGGGTAGCAATATATAAATATACAAGTATACTGGTGTATGAACGGATTTGTTAATACATATTTTTGTAATTTTATCAAAGCATGATATATTATCCATGTATATATATAAATATGCATATATTTACAAATATAATTTGTTGTTACAGTAGTGGATAATTGGTAATGTAGTATAAATTAGTGGATACTTTGTAATGTAAATGTAATAACTATCCACTATCATTGTTCACTAATTGGATATTACTAATTGATAATACATAGTTGTTATATTAGTGGATAATTATAGTGATATTCATTGTTGTTGAAAATGGATATTTATGCTATTAGCAAAGATAACTAATATCTAACTAATTATCATCGGATATAACATCCGAGTATAATTAATTAGTTATTTATAAGCAATAATATATACTTAATCATTAATCATGTGCTATAGTTTGTTATGCTTAGTAATGTTAATGGTTAGTGTGTTGTTTTAATAGCAACCTTTCATTGATAGTTAAAATGCTAATCACATGATTTAACCTCGGCCTGTTCACAAGCTTCCTACACATCCCAGCGAAAACATGTGGCTCTATATCTCGCATGGCGATTGGTGCCTCCCACAAAAATCGTACCACAAGCAAGGGACCAAAAGTGAGTGAAAGGCCATCCGGAAAAAGAAAAAACTTGACCTACCCAATGGGTCAACGTATCGTCGTCGCCACGTCCGAGTCTTGAGGTTCCTCCTTGTCCTTGCGCGCAAAAAGATTGTATACTCTGTGACACTGGGCTAGTCTATTCTAGTGACTTTTGTTTCTGAAGTCAGCTCAACGGAGCATTGTGTCAGTCACAGTCAGTCTTGAAAGTTCAGTTTGAGTTGGTGGATATTAAGATAATGAGGATGTTGCATATCAATCATGACTAATGCTGCGAACCCAGCAATAGTAAAGATAGTAAAGATAGTAAATTTAGAGTCATTATATATAGGCCGTTGAAATAAACTATAGTTACAATAGTTAGTCATCATATGTATATTTAAACGTCAGTTGCAATAGGATCATACCATATGATCTGCGTACAACTGTCACTACCTTTTAGCAACACTATTAAATATCATAGTTTTAGGTAATCAAACCTTATAATAGCAGCAACATAGGTTTATACTAATAATTGCAGTTTAAACAACTTGTAGTAGCGCTTTCAGTAACAATAAAATACGAACATACAACTGATATTATAGCAGCAGTTTAACTATTACATACAACAATCGGATGTAATGGCAACATGTGTCAGTCATCATTAACTAGCATGTCTCACCAGCAGCTTTAGTGAATGATGAGGCATGCAGATTTATGTTAATGATGGTAAATAATCAGTAGCGATCATTCACCATGACTATTGATCCATTTGTTAATAATGATAAACAATGATAAGTAGTTACAAATTATGATTACCAGGTCATTCCAAGGTTAAAGTGGAATTCCGAACGGTTTGTTTTATATTAAGGGGGAAGCAGACATGTTCGATTAGCATCATGGGAGTCCACCGAAAAAATGAAGATATGGTTTTTATCCATCAAACAAGGTCTTACATGGCTTCGCCATCTTGAAACCGGGGGGATATAGCAAATTTCAGTTGAAATACCCCTGGTGTGTGGGATCCAATCTATTTAACCACCGTATTATTAGTTTTCACCTGCAGTCACCTTCCCTCGGTCATATCAATCATATCCCCAAAGGACCCAGTTCCTGAACCCATCTAATACTCAACCATTTGTTGTGACATTTAGTAATTTGGAGGTTTCCTGAAATGGGTGTACCCCCAAATCAGCTATCTTAATCTATTTTAATTAATCTATTTTATGTGATAGGATTTTCCACGACAAAAACCATCCTCATGTCGGGACACGGTTAATGAGGTTAGCCCACTGACAATGATAACGACACTAGCAATGACAATAATCACAATGATGATACGTACCGTACGTACGTACATACATACATGCATACATACAAACCCATGTTTTGCTTATTGCACCCATCACCAAAGAAATGTATAGGCCTCATATCACATGTTTCCGCTAATCAAACATATATAAACATGGCAATTTTGCACATCTCCCATTGATGATTTTCCCAGTTTCATGTTTATCGAAGGGTATTTGATTGAGGCGTTCTTATCAATTTTTACTTCGAACTTGTATGGTCATTCATGATGAACCTATGTTCAAATCTTATTAATATGGGTAAAACAATGCCATAAACCATCCCCCAAATTACAATTTTTATGGATGGTATAAACCATTCTCAAATGGGTGGTTCATGACATTGTTTTACCCACATGAGTCCTTTTTACAGCAGGATACGTTTCAACGGATCGGTCCCGTGGTGCAGGTGTTGCATTGCTGGGTTTCCTGGAACATTTTCCCAAGCCTCTACACCAAGGTGGCTGCGGCGGACCCCCAAATGATGTCCTGAGTGTTACCCTCTGGTTATGACATTCACAGTTTGCCATGGAAAGATCCACCATGCTATCAAGTTCGGTAAACCATCTATTTCGATAAATGGGCCATCGAAATACCATGGCTATGTAAAATAACCAGAGGGTAAATGATGAGTAGGTGTCCCCATTTAAAGATATGTAAAGATCGTAAAGATCCATTTGAGGATATGTAAAGATATTCTTAGGATGGCAAACTAGAAAAAATGTATGACTAAAGACATAAACAAAAACCTTGAACCAGTCAATCAATTCTTAGGATGAAACCCATTTTAGGATGGTAAGACATCTAGAAGATTCAAAATTCAATCAATTTTCAAGTCCTATTGGTACCCCAATTTAAATCGTTATCATGCGTTGATTCATAACCCACCCAACTTGAGTGACAGATTCAGGGTGAGGACCATAGTTTTGCGTATATTGTTGTAAACCACATTGCCTATATGGGGAACCCACCTTGCAGAGAGTTTTGTTTTGTTTTGAACTTGGGTTCCGTAGGTCATAAAAACAAGTTTTTGGGGAAAGTACGGGCAAACACCCTGTAATTATTGCCCGAGAGACTATCAAACATTCTATAAAGTAGGTCATTCTGGCACTCCTGAAAAACTCAGGTATAGGGGGCCTTAACTTGTCATTGCACAAGTCATCTTCTTCACCTGGTTACACACCAAGGCCCTTCAACCCGGTTACCCCCCAAACAATTGGCAAATCAAGGGAAAAGTATATCCTACAGTACGCACTGATTATGGTAATTGAAAATCTGACATATTCGCGTATCGATAGTTTCCCAATTGAGAAGGGGAGATTGTTTGTGGCCATGTCCTATTACCAATGGGTGTTTCCTTTTTTGGATGATACTCTCTAGAGTGTTGGAATGCTACACGACACCAGAGGGTAGTCTTGCTAGGTTTGATCCAACCGTTTGTTTGTAGATGTATGGCGTTTGTGCAGCATGTGCGAATTGTTGACTGTAAAATAAGTTGGATTTTTGGGTATACAAAAAAGTGTCATTTTAGCCATGATGAAGCACCAACCAATGGTGGGGACTGGCCGCTAAAAAATCATCATCATTGAGGTAGGTCACTGGGACTTGTCATGTTGGACAGCTGTTAACCTCAAGCTGTTGAAGATACGCGCAACATTCACGGACCAGATGTCTGGTGTCATTAGCTTTTCATGAAGATCAACAATGATTTGGAGAGATGGCTTGGGTGAGCCCGTCACGCGGTCAAATAGCAACATATATAATTACTGCAAATTCAACTCAGTTACATAGTGTTGCAAGCCAACTCGGATGCTAGTCCGTGGGGGGCCCACATCCAAGATATCGATGAAAACAATATACGGTATGGGTCGGGTGATTGGGCACACCCAAACTGTGGTGCTGAATAATAACTCCTGAATAAGGTGATCAGCATTTGTTGAACAATGGGTCTTAAAGTTTAGAACACATGTTTTTGGTTGAATGATTACATGATTATATGTCATTATCTCCCTATAGGCCTTTCATTTCCCATGCCCAGCTTCAAGCTTGGCACTTCGCCCCAGCCATGGCAACCTTCATTGCCTGTTTGGGGCAAGCTCTGTCGCCCGATGGATCTGTCGCTGAGTTGCAAATGACTAAGCGGTCGGATCTGTCGATAAAAGTCGGTTGCTTGAAGGGGAAGATTAAAAAGGAAAGCCATGGAATCATCATGCTTTACATTACATTTACATACAAAAAATGGGGTTCTCAATAATTGTTCTCTTTATCCAACTCGGGGACAGTAGAAAAAACACTTTTATCTCCATTAGAATCGATGCGTTTTGGCGTACATTTTTAATCATCAACTCAGGCCCGCATTCTTTAATATATATATATATGTTTCAGTGGGTCAAATGGCTGAAATCCAGCTTCATCCATCCTACATTTTTGTGGCTTTACTTCCGCAGCCTCTGAAGTACTTGGGCTATGTTTTGGAGGGTGAACGCCACGCGTTCGGGGGGATTTGGACCATTGGCAGAATATAACATGGCAGTGGCAGTCCGGAGATTTCCAAAATGTGCCATGGCGATTCCCGGAGGGTAAGCACATTATCCCAAGTTTTTCCCTATTTTCAACATATTAAACCTATATTACCCTATGATCTCCCCATGATCTCCCCATGATCTCATGAAATCCTCATGAAATCCTCATGAAATCCCAGGATTTTTTTCAGCGTCAGCGGCAGGTCCCGGTGACCCTGGCGAACCGCGCCGCCGTGGCGGCGGAGCTGCACCACCGCCTTGGCGCACGCATCATTTTGAGCGGCGCCGATGTGAGTCGCGTGGGAAGCTCCGAGGCGCAGGTGCCAAGGGAGGCTGAGAAATACCCTCTGGTTATGTCAAATGGGGGAGGTTATATCTATAGTTCATGGGGATTATAAACCGACTTATAACTGGGGGGGCACCACCTTGTAGCTATTGAAAATGGCCATTTATAGTTGATTTACCCATGAAAAACGGTGATATTCCATAGTTATGTAAACGTTTACCAGAGGGTATATGGTATCTTAATACACATAGTCTGTCACTGATTGGTGGTTTCAAACATGAATTTTATGTTCCATAATAATTATATTGGATGTCATCCTTCTCATTGACGAACTCATATTTTTCAGAGGGGTAGGTCAACCACCAACCCGATATGTATAATATATATATATATATTTGAATATAGTTATATATATATATGTATATTTGTAGCTGATTATCAATCCCATATATAATAGTTTTATGGTGACTAATGTGGCCAAACACAATGTCATACACCACCCATGACCGGGAATGGTACCTATAAACATGGTGAACTTGAGAAAATGGTTTATTATAATATATTGTTTTGACTTTTATTATTTCAACCATTATTATTAAATTATTGTTGTTTGACCTTTCTTATTGTTTTACCCACATTAGTCACCATTAATCACCATTAATCATACATTAATCATCCATTAATCACCAACTCTTATCCACTATTCACCATTATCCATTGCTAATCCATTGGTTAACCTCAATTGGTTTAATCATACATTAATCATCCATTAATCATACATTATCCATTGATAATCCGTACATTAGTCATCCATTGTTTCACCCACATCAAAAAAAAACTAGCCCTCGCCTGCCTCAGGTCACGCTTCAACTAGCCCTCGCCTGCCTCAGGTCATGAAGTCGATCCTGACCTCTACGCCGCACTCCGTCGATGCCCAGGCGCTGCTCTTGGATGAGTTGGCCTGCAACACCATCGACGCTTAACGGCGAAGCCGTCAAAAGAACGCGGAACCGGGGTTGGGGAAAGGAGTCTTGAGGAAAAACCGTATCAATTTTCTTTTTCTAAATAGGTTTATATCATAGTTTATCACTTTTTGAGGTTATCAATTCATGTGTTGCATTGCAACAAATCAATTTTATTCCAGAAGTGCGTATTGTAAGCCAAGCAGTCAATAACGGGTTAAAATATTTTAGGTGCGTCATCGATTTGTTTTTTTTAGATGGAGGGATGGTTCCATGAAACTAGATCATTCGATCATCGAATTGGGACAATCCAAGACAAAATTCAAGCTAGGCTTGGAGTTGAACATGGACCCAATTCACTGGTGTATAACCAACAAAAACAACCAGACAAGTTGGATTGGTGTTTTCAAGTCTTTGTGATTCTTTGTGCAACCCAAAAACATCTCCCAAAACAGGATGATAAAATCACAATCGACAAGCAGAGATTTTCCGAATGTGTTGAAACGACCAACCAGCAACTCAGCGTTTTCTCTTCTTGGGACCCAGCTTCATTTATCCTTCAGAACTGTTCTGGGTTCGGGGCTGTCGGATAGCACTTTCGTTGAGAGCCATATGTTGTATCAGAGAGTCAATGGTGGTCAGGGCAACTGATTTTATTGATTTAAACAGACCCGGAAAAATGAGAGTATTTTCATGATCGTTGAACACATCTTTATCTCATAATATCTCATTGTTATTGGGTGAACTAATTATAATTTACCCTCTGGTAAACGTGTACATAACTATGGAACATCACCATTTTTAATGGGTAAATCAACTATTTCTATAGCTACAAGGTGGTGCCCCCCCTGTTATAAGTTGGTTTATAATCCCCATTAACTATAGATATTTCACCCCCCCCGGACTGGGGCACCACCATGGTGACCATCCGTGACCATCCATGACCATCTGCCGAGGAAAACGTGCGAAACACCTTGGCCATCATCAGAAGAGAAGCGCCCAGTGTGGTTGCTCGGTTGCAACAACAATCGAATGTACTTGAGGAGATCGAATTTGATGCTCCCATCTACTGTTGAAAAGGCAAACAGATGCAAACAGTATGGACGAGGCTACGCGGCTACAATCATCGCAGACATCACTAGCCAAAAACCATTGAACTGAAGCAGATTGTCTGTGGGACTGACCTTGTCAACTAATCCAACAGAAACGAACTGATCTTTGTTAATCTAACAATGTAGCCGTTTCGATGTGGTGCATGCTCTGTTTGCACATAGATATTGCTATAGGTTCAGCGTTTGTAATTTGGGTAAACCCAACAATTAATAGAGTACATCTCCACTTTTGGAGGGTTTCTGCAACCCACTTCTGATGAGTCTGTGGGATTACCATTGCTAACCACAAGAATTCATAATTCTGAGTTGTTGGAGGGTACTCCTATATTATTCATATTATTCTGATATCATTTGTTTGATGTGATATCATTCTGCTAGAATTTCATCATAAGAAAAGGAACATTCATCGAGGTGGTTTCCCCAACATCAACGTTTTTTTTGGGCAGAATCAGAATATGCAGATTACATCAGATTGAGCTTACCACATTACCCTCTGGTAGTTGAACGTAGCCATGGAAAATCACCATGTTTAATAGGTTTGTTTCATCATAAATCATCTTGGAAATGGGCCATATTCCATATAGCCATGTGAAAAAAACCAGAAGGTCCATGTAGTAAGTATACACATATACCCCTTTTTTTAACTACTTCTTGGAGTTCTGTTCGCCAACTCAGCTATCTTTTTTCAGCACCTTTGGGTGAAACAACTGTGAGGCTGCTGGAGGTATCAAGATGTATCTGGTCACCTCCGACTTCCACTGTCCTCGTTCGGAGTTTATCTTCAGGATCGGCTATTACTGGGTCCCCCCAAAAGGTCAACGATCATCGGGGGATGTAACGTGGGGAATTCGTCCTCACAAACGGATGTGAATCAGGGTAGGAGCTTGCTACCCCCCAGTTATCAGTTGGTTTGTAAACACATCTATATGACAAAATAGATGTTTCCAGCTTTTGACGTGGCCATCGTTCTTCCAGACCAACTTCATCCCACCTTGTAACCAGGACTGTCTTCGAGTCCGAGGGTGCCGGTGAGGTGGAAATTGAAAGCTGTCCAGCCTTCAGTGCCTTAAAGGACGACATCTCAGATGATCCGAAGAAAGACACTCGGATGACATCGTTCGTTCGTTACTACCGGGCGCTGTGAATGGCGATTGTTGTTTATGAAGGTTTGTGAAGTACCATAAAGATGTTGAACAAGTAAACATCTTAGCAACATATATTGATAATAACTAATGGTATGTTAATAATAAACTATAATGAACTATTTTTAGTACTATAATAAACTAATATAAACTATTAAACTGTTGCTGGTTTCAAAACATGTTATTTTCTGCAACCCAAAAAGGATGATCCATCCCGACCCGACGACACGCGGAGGGATGGTCAGGATTGGGGTAACTATCCCATTTTGAACGACCTTATTTTGTGTGTGTGTGGGTTTAGATAAACTATCTTAAGCAATAGTTTATGAATAGAATCTGATGGGTTCTTAATATTTCTTAATTATGTTGATAATAGTTTAGATAAACCACACATTTGATGGGTTCTTAATGATTTATGAATAGAATTGAATAGATTGTTCACCACCAGCTATAATTTTCACCTGCAAACATGTTTGGAGCAGCTGCTTTATTCGTCTTTTGGGAGAGACTGTCTTTGTTTTCATGGGGAATATATGACTGGGTTAGTAAGCACCAATCGATCATTGCGGGGTGTGGAAACATGATTTGTTGGAGTTCTTGGACCGGTGCTCTGCAAATGCGGAGCAAATGCGGAGGAAATGCTGACGGATTTCAAATTGCACAAGATCATGAAAGACACTTGCAGCTTTTGGCGTCAGATTTTGTGTTTTTTTTTTGTGATGTGTTTTTTTTTGCTGGCTAGTCTTGTTGATTTGTTGTTATTTTATAGCATATAGAAACACTACGCACGTTGGCGTTGTTTCAATACAACAGGGTTAGACGGACATCGTATAGTGATATTATAATATATATATGAATATAATACATATTGAACATAATCAATCAATCATGACATGTGTTGGCTGCTTCACTTTGTGTTTTTGCATCTGTCAGTTGGGATCACTTGAAAGTGGATATCCTACTTGCAGATATCACTAGCCACTTGCAGCCTTATTGGTACCCTATTGTTCAATCATACAGACCACTCGACTCGACATTTTGGGAATGAAACAGCCACAGGTCTAGTTACCACCAGTAGTTATAGCATCACCATAGCCAGAACTCATACCACCATATCTACGATAACCATCATTGTCTAGCCTAGTTGTAATGCGCAGCTTCCCTATGAAGCTGGATCAGGACATCAACGAGTGGGGTATTTTTATGCGCCTTTGTCACGAGAATGCCTTGATGGTCAACAAGATGCAGAGTTGGCTCCGTGAATATGGGGTGGAGAAGCAGAACCCCAAGCATTTCGACAGGGCCTTGAAACAGACGCTTGGATGGAGAATCATGCCGCTGGAGGATGCCATTTATTAGACAGAATTTGGTGTTTCCAATCCTTTTAAGTATTACAATATACTATAACTAATATATATATATATATAATAATGTATGTATATATATATACACATACATATTTTGGAAAATTCTGGCTTAGGATACTTCATAGCCAGGGTTGATTCAATGATTATTGTTGCATCGGGGATGGGAAGGAACTGAGGCAACATTCGTCAACGCAATTTCTTTTCTACCTGTGAAGGGGTGGAAAGACTCAGTTGCCCCGCAGCAATATTAAACTAGTCATTATTCATTAAATATCCAGATCTATTCTGGATTACCCCTTTATTCATCTGGCCATTTTCCTTATTGAACCACCCTTTCATGGCCGTGTGATGGTGCAGCGAGGCTTGCAGAGCTGGTTGAGCAAGCACGCCGCGGCGACTACGGCAAGACGTGACCCTTTTGTTTGAAAATGCGGACCGACGCCCAACATAGCGGTGCTTTATCCAGTTCCATATGTATGACCAGTTATGATATATCTACCCTTATTGTACGTGTATATATATATAATTATAGTTCTTGTATATAGGTTATGGGCCACCAATCAGGGTTCCTCCCACCTATTGAATAGCTACATGATAGCGACAAGTTTTTGTTTGTCCTGGGGTTTGCTCAAGGTGATTGCGTGTTTTCCCAATTGGTTAATCACCCTTTGGGGAGTCTACTGTTGTTTTTTTTTTTGGGGGGGGGGCCACCGAAAAAGCAAACCAAAGTTACACCTATGGATTTGAGCAACTGCCAACATTTATAGTAATATAAATTCATCTTTGGGATCCCAATTTTCAGGTCCCAAGTGAAATTTAGAAGGTGTAAGTCTTATTTATTGTTATTACTGTTTCTTCCATTATTATCCCAATTTACACTGAGAGACTGAGAGTTAAATTTTGGGGAGGATCTATTTATAAAGCCAATCTATCCCGCTTTGGGATCCTTCCTGGTCTGTTGGCAGCCTTGCGCTGGGGAAGCGGGTAATTCTTGGGATGGGATGGCATGGTAGGGGTCTGAATTTCAGCGGTTTGGAGGCCCTCAACCCATAAATTGGGCACTATACCGTTTCGTTGGCAACATGTTGTTGGACACACAGCCACAGCAATGATGCTGGCGACCATAATGAGCTGTATATGAGTTTAGCATAGTTTAGCATAGTTTAGCATAGTTTAGCTGTCTGCAAAATGGGATGATTGGGTAGGTGGTTTGACAATCGACTTGTCGTTTTTTTCCGTTGCCATGAACAACATGCAAAGAATTGCCTGATCCAAGGGCAACAGCACTTTCCAATTTCATGTTTTGTCAGTTCATCCACAGTGGAAAACCCCTCCACAAAGAACTAGAAAACAGTCATTTGATTGCCACTTCTTCAGGCATTCACTGTTCTATTTCTTTTTTGGGGGGGAGTTGCTATACATTTTTTTCTGGTGCGTTTGGTGTCCCCAGGACACCATTGGCTTCTCAGCAAGACTGGGCTGGTCATTGGCGGATGATGAATGCAGGGACTTACCCCTCAATGTATGGAATTGACAGCTTTACATTGTTTGATCCATGCGGCACATGCCGGTAAAGGGTTCATGCCGGTAAAGGGTTCATGTTTACCATATGGTATTGTTTGGAGGATCAAACATTGGTATATAACCATCAACAAAACATGGTACTCATTTCGTACCAACAGTGACCGTATCATCACCCACTACAATCACTTGCCAATCATGGCCTGCTCCTTTCCACTCCTTCTGACGCGGTTGTTTGGCTTTTCTTTAGGATTTGGCAGCACATAACATGTATACCAAACAAATAAGTCAAACCTATGACAAAACATTCAACAAATTCCTCATGTCAACATCTTCAAGTTAAAACACATCAAATTTCTCCAAAGATAAAAACCATCTCTTCACACCCAAATTTGCTGTGTTTTTTTGGTGAAACATCGCAGTGCCCCCGGCCTCTTCGGCTCGTTGCTGTTCTCAATGGCGACCTTCATCGCATGCTTGGGGCAGCAGCTGGCACCCGATGGCTCTGAGACTTGGGCTCAAAAAACACATTTGGGCCAATTGGGGAACATAATTTCTGGATGGCACATCCAAGTTATGGCCATATGAGCAACGGTCAAAAGACGCTATGAAAGGCTTCAATTGCGATCCGCCATCACTACTCAAAATATGTGATTTACTGTGTGTAGCGATAGGGGGCCTTATGTAGCGATACCTCTTTTTAGACTTTGTTTATGATTGAAGCTTCCTGTTGGGCGCATGACTTTCCAATCTTTTGATGTCAGAGTGCGACACTGGAGCAGTCGCAGTGGGCTGGTCTTCCTGGGTAGTTGCAAGATGGCCTGTCGTCAAGTATATATGAGATAGTTACATTAAACAATATTGATATATTGGGGTATGTTGACCTATAAGGTATGCAAGAAACTAATTCATAACGCTTGATGATGGTGATGATGCTGATGATGATGGTGATGGTGATGATGTTGATTCAGATAGTGACCGTGCTGAGATATGTTGAAAAAGCATCCTTGTGCGGTCACGGACGCTTCTCCAAAGCCACTGTCCAGGAGTAGAATTGCAACATGGAGCTTGTCAGAATTTCGTGTCACTTGAAACATACACCTGAGATCACACATTTTCTGGTCCCCGTAGCGATGCCCGAAGCGATACCCCTCGATACCCAGAGCGATACCTGAAATCCATGAAATTAGGGAGTACCCCACATGGTCACTTGAAACTATACAACTTGTGCTATAGGTGGAAAAATATGGGAAGTATGAACAAGGGTACCCTCAAGTTCTTACTGGGTTAGTTCTTAAAGGGTTCATTTGGTCAGGGTTTTGCCGATTCATTTTGGCGTGGTATTAGGTTGCAAAGGAGGCGGGGTGAAGAAAAAAAGGCGCCGGAAACAAGGCAGCACAGGCAAGACAAGCCAAGACAAGCCAACACAAGCCAAGGGCAGCCTCCGAGGTCAGATGACCTGCAGTGAGTCTGGCTGGTGTCTAGCTGAAGCTGTCGACGTCAGCCTTGGTGATCAAGTAAAAGTTTGAATTTCCCTGGAGATACCATCGCAAGGGGAATAAGAATCCGATTCCTCATCTGGATCCTCCTCTTCTAGCAGCAATTCTGCCTAGTTGGTGAAAAGGGTGCTGGGACTGTGTGTAGCGATAGGGGGCCTTATGAAGCGATGCCATGACCTCACCACATGAATTGAGTTTTGACCGTCGCACATATGGATATACATATATATATATATACACATAATTATATACCAATATATATATATGGGATGATGAACTACATTTTTGTTTAGCTTCACTAGTTTGAAACAGCCCAGTCGCCGCCCAGTCATCTTGTTGCTCCAGGCCAAGTGTGGCAAGATCACCGGACGTAACCGCGTTACTGGTGGTTTCAAGTATGTTTCATTGTCAACATGATTTGGGATGATGATTCCTGCCCTCCGGCGTCATCAAACATTCATCAAACATCCTAAATTTCATGGACATTTCCCTGGAAATCGAGGCTTTGCAACAGGTTTCTTCATGTGAACATCCTTGACCTCCACGATGTTCCATCACAGAAAACGCACGTCGCATGCGTCGACGCGTTTCCAGGTGCCACTGACGCTGGCGAACCGAACGGCACATGCTTCGCAACTCCACAAGTGACTTGACCATGGCAGCGTGCTGTGCGGAAATTCCATCTGGATTGAGATTGACCATGGGGGGTAAGGGAAAAACCCATGAGAAAACATACCATTCTTTTTTTGAGAAGCCTTTTGTTGTGATCCAGATTCAGGTCGAAAGCTTCCTCACTTGCTCACGACTCTCAGTTCGGAGTGACAGCCAGAGGATTCATTGTGCTGGTTTTTCGTGATCTTTATTCAACCCCTTTTGCCACCATTTTTTTACAGGCAGCAGGCGGATATTCCGAGATCAAACATGGAATCCCAAGGGATTTTCTACAGTGGAAAGTAATCTGAATCAGGAGCCTTCCATTTTTTAGGTTCCATATTTCAATTCAGAATCAGCCATGAAAGGACGTTAAAGGGTCTGAGAACAAACTTGCTAATTATTTTTTTTTGTTCACAAAAAAAGTGAGGCGAATTTCCCAGATGTTGGGATTCTTCAAGGGACATGTTTCATTATTTTCATTCTTCAAAGATTTAGCCAGATAATCTGCCATCGAGTGCCATAGAGTACTAGCCTCTGCTGAGGACCCTCGGAGCGCCCATCATTTTGAGTGGTGCTGATGTCCCTGGGCCGCTTTTTTGACCTGGCTTCCGATGCCCAATTTTTTTACTCTTTGTTCAAGGCCCAAAATTGTAAAATGCTTGTGTTAAAGTCATGATTTAAGAAGATTTCAATGGTTTTCCCACAGGTTTATAAATGTTATAATATGTTATAATGGTTTTCCATTATTTTCCCATTTCTGAATATCTGTCAACACACCATATTCGGACCGAACATGACCCTGAAGGTTGTGGCTTGCCACGCGGTTATGGTCACAGGGCTGACCCACCATGCACGATCTGTTTCACTGTAGAATACCCCTCCTACATGGCCCGTTTTTCGGAGTGGTTCCATGTTGTAATTTGGTCTGGATACTTGACGCAACCTCCAATTTTTTTGATTGCTGACCTTTGGGAAATACGGGAATGGTCCAGACTTCTATTTTGCAACCTGATAGTTTGCTTAAAAAAGTACCTGGTAGATCCTTGGTGTTCATGCGATGATGAATCTACACCGACCACCTGCTTAGAATCAGCTAAATCAGCTTCTTCCGCCAAGAAAAAAACATCCAAAAACATGTCTATCCTTTGGCTATTAAACCTGACTACGGAGAATGAGCCGCAAAGATCATTGGAGGTTTCCATATTGAGCCATAGGATTTTTGAGCCAGTCCTAGGTTTCTTTACCAGAGGCTACTATCAGTTTTCCATCCCTGGCTGGTTGATTTACCATCATGGCCATCATGGTGCAATCCCTGCAATCCCCAAGTTCCAGCTGAATAGCCAGAGACTAACATGATTTTAATATATTTTACCCTCTGTTAAACTAACATAGCTATGGAAAATCACCATTTATAGTGAGTTTTCCCATGACAAATGGTGATTTTCCATAGTTATGTTAGTTTATCAGAGGGTAATTCTAGGAAATGTCATGGGAAATGTCATTTTTCATGACATCTACAGAGTCCTTCCTTCTGCATGGCCATCTACAGAGGTTAGCCGCGTTGGCATCACTGAAGCACAGGTGCGGTCAAAACTCGGCAACGGGATAGGTCCAAACTGAGCAACACCGGACCGTCATTTTGGTGTCGTTTCATATTACGTAAGCTACGAAAATCCCATGGCTGGTTGGTGGTTTGGAACATGAATTTTATGACTTTCCATTCAGTTGGGAATGTCATC